CAGTACGGCTTCGCCTGGCCCGAGAGGATGAGCTGCGAGAGCCTGCCGGTGCTGGGGGACACCGAGGAGCTCTGCATGGGATACAACCGCACGGAAGCCACCACCCTGCCGCCTTTCTTCGGGAAGCCCACGCGCCCAGCCAAGGACGCGGCCAAAAACCTGACGCCGCTCGGTGGGCAGCGCCCCTCGGGGCTGGACTGCGGCCGGACTTGCAAGTGCAAAGCGCCTCTGATCCCCATCTCCAAGGAGTCCCATCCGCTCTACAACCGCATCAGGACTGGGCAGGTACCCAACTGTGCCATCCCCTGCTACCAGCCCTACTTTACCCAGGATGAGAAGACCTTCGCCACTTTCTGGATCGGCCTCTGGTCCATCCTCTGCTTCCTTTCCACCTCCACCACCGTGGCCACCTTCCTCATCGACATGGAGCGCTTCAAGTACCCCGAGCGCCCCATCATCTTCCTCTCTGCTTGCTACCTCTTTGTCTCTGTGGGCTACATCGTGCGGCTGGTGGCAGGGCATGCCAACGTGGCTTGCAACCCGGAGCACCATCACATCCACTATGAGACCACGGGCCCTGCCCTCTGCACCGTGGTTTTCCTTCTCCTCTACTTCTTCGGCATGGCCAGCTCCATCTGGTGGGTCATCCTGTCCCTCACCTGGTTCCTCGCAGCTGGCATGAAGTGGGGCAACGAGGCCATCGCTAGCTACGCGCAGTACTTCCACCTGGCTGCCTGGCTCATCCCCAGTGCTAAATCCATTGCTGTACTGGCACTCAGCTCCGTGGACGGCGACCCGGTGGCCGGGGTTTGCTACGTGGGCAACCAGAGCCTGGAGAACCTGCGGGGCTTCGTGCTGGCACCGCTGGTGGTTTATCTTTTCACTCAAGCTGGAGAAGCTGATGATCCGCATTGGCATCTTCACTGTGCTCTACACTGTGCCTGCCACCATCGTCATTGCCTGCTACATCTATGAGCAGCACAACCGGGAGGCGTGGGAGCGGGCGCAGAACTGCTCCTGCCCGGGGGACACCCACCGCCCCAAACCTGACTACGCCATCTTCATGCTCAAGTACTTCATGTGCCTTGTGGTGGGCATCACCTCTGGCGTCTGGATCTGGTCCGGCAAGACTCTGGAGTCCTGGAGGCGCTTCACAGCCCACTGCTGCCAGGCCAGGAAGCCCGCAGGTGCCTCCGTGTACAGCGAGGCCAGCCCGGCACTGGTGGGCAGGACAGTGCTGCCCAGCATGGCCTCTTACCACAAGCAGGTCCCGCTGTCCCACGTGTGACCGGAGGCAGCCTCTGTGACCCCAGCCCCCGGGAGGGAAGGGTTGCCAACCTGGGCCCCAGCAC